TTTATCTTCCTGCTTATCAGACTTCAAACTTCCATTTCTTAAGAATTATTGCCTGGAGCTGCTTTTAACACTCACCATCGCCTCCACTTCTGTCCCGTGCAGATCAAAGACACAGATCTCCCCTTGTACCAAGCGCAAGAGAGAAGCCAGCCCTCCCGGGGCGCGGACGCGAGGCCAGCAGAGGGTGGAGGAAGCGCCTGTGAAAAAGGCCAAGCGGTGATCGTGCGCGCTCGGCGCGCCGTGGCGGACGCGGGGGAGAGGAGGGGCCCTGGCGGCCGAGACTTCCCTGGTTTTGAAGAAGGATGTGCATGTGCTGTGGTTTCCTAGGTGCAAGCTTTTTCTTGTTATGTTTCAAACAGCTTTATAAACTATTGTTCATAGATACTATGTACATTTCTTTCAGATAAAGGAAAATAAGTTTACTTTCTATCTCAACTCAAAACAAAGTAGTTGTATATTTTAACATTTCTGAAATTGGAATTTCCCAATGTGACACATCACTAAGGCAGACCCTTCCAGCCCAGCGGGCACCAGGCTGCCCCGGTCACCTGTGTACAGTATATAAACATGTAAAAATAGGTTGTATTTTACTCTATGTATGATGCTAATCAATGAACACTTTATTTATTTTACAGAGAAAACTTATCTGTGAACTTTACTATATATCTGTTTATTTTATTTTATTATTGTTGGTTTGTTTTTTCGTTTTTGTTTTTTTGTTTTGTTTTTTAAATAAGAAAGGGTTTTAAATGCTGTGCAGCCGTCAGTAGGGCATTTTCTAGGAGACTGCCTGCCTGCGACGCAGCAGGAAGGCCAGACTCGCCTCGCATGTCCCCACGTAAAGTAGCTTAGCTGCAGGAAGGCTCGCTGTGGCCTTTCTGCTCACAATTGTGACTATTTTTTAAGAATGTAACTTGTTTTTAGATTATATGCACCCCTGTGACTTCACGCCCAGCCCCAGCGATGTGAGGGGCCTGGGTCCGGGGAGTCGCGTCCCCACTTGCAGCAGAAGGCCCCGTTGGCCTTCGTGCCCCAGTCCGTGCGGGGCCCCGCTGCCGTCTGTTCTGTCCATCTGGGCTTTCCCATGAAGAGAAATGCATCGCAGACTAGGCCACACCCTCCCCTGGAGCTTCGGGCTTTTAGGTTGTTTTATACACAATGATTTCAGGACAGAAACTGGCTTTACTGCCAGGTTCTTTTTTAAACATTTTCTCTCCCATATGAGCAGACTGTCCAACTTAAGTTTTTCATAAGATTAAACTTTTCTTAAGATCAAATTTGTCTCTTGCAATGATGTGATGAGTTGCCAAATAATTGAGATTATTTTAAAATGGTTTGTTCATATTCTTGTTTTATAATTAAAATTTACATTCAAGGTGTGTGCTTTTTTGTTTTGTTTTGTTTTAAATTCTTAATGTAAGATGGATATTTCTGTCATTTTACATGGTTTCTTACTGAGATTTTATATATAAATTATAAAACATTTCCCAAAAATTAAGTGGTAAAATTTTTTTTTTTTTTTTCCGAATTTTAAAATTCCTCCCTGTGAGAACTGTTTCTTCTCTGTAAGTAGTTGGTCTTAGACACATTGTTGCTTTTGGACATTCAACTTTGAGCCAGTGATGGGCTCCCTCAGAGATAAGGAACATGGGCATTCTCTGTTTTCATTATGACCAAGAGTTCTAACCAGTACTTCAACTAGTTGGAAAGGGTTCAGTCATGGCCGACAAAAACCAGGGCACTATTGGCATCCCGTAGCAGCCACAGCTCTTGCTGCTGGTTTTTGACCAGAGTAGGAAGTGGGCAGTGGTGCCCTGCTCAAAGGTGGTGTCTGACCATGCCGTAACACACATGGAAGCGGCATGGTCAGCCCCGTCTTTGCGTGGGGCGTTGCTGCCCATTTCTGATGCAGGTTCAAATCCAACAGGCAAGAGATTTGGCTACTGTGCAACCAGACACTGCTCTTGTTCCCATCAGCCAGGACTTAAGCATTGGAACCTGTTGGAGCCCTGGTTTTAACCAAAGTTCAAAAATCTGAAGAGATTTGTCTTCAGATCAATCAAGGGTTGTATCAGCCTAGGCCCCTTGACTAATAATCTTTTCAGTGGTCAGTTTAGGTTGGTTCATCAGAGGTACAGCCTTAAAATGTATTCGCAGTGTGAAACCAATATTACTTGCTTCATGTGACACGGGTAGATGACCCAATAAGCAGTAAGCACAGGCTTCTTTGTCCTCACTTGCTAATCTGCAGTGAACAATTTTGCATTTTTTCCACCACATCAAAAATTCTGCTGCTAGGTATGGCTGGCTTCTGTCTCTCTCCCAGCCCCACAGCCCCTTCCTTCAGAATCACAGCCTCTTTCCAAATTTACAGTCCTTGACAGGGATGGAGTACCCAGTACCAGTAAGCCAGGTAAGCACAGGCGTACTTGTGCTTACTTACTAATCCATAGTGAACTGTTCCAAATGTTTTTTACCACATGAAAACACGTGAAGCTGTTCACTGCAGATTGGGTAATGCCCCCCCGATGTAACACTGAGCATGCCCTTATAGCTACCAAGTGTTCAGGATAGGAAGAGATGACACCTTAATAAAATTGGAAGTACAGTTTGGAACTACATAAAGAATGTTCTGATGGACAAGTCAGTTGGACCACTCAACTTCCAGTGGTTCTCAAACCCAGGTGGGGGGTGATATCTCCCCCTAGGGGCACTGAAAACACACAGGAGCAGCTCTTGGTTGTCATGATTTGGTACTACCGGGTTTTAGCACAAGGAAGGAGGCTGAGAATGCTGAATGTTATGTGATGCAGACAGTCCTGTACGCCAAGATGTGTCCAGCCCAAAATGCTGGTAACTGACCCACTAGCCCACTGAGAAACACTTAGAGACTGTCCCCAAGTTTTATACTTCCCTGGCCTTAGCTACTGACACCAACACCTCACTGCTTCTCCATCAGCCACCTGAGCATTAGTGCAGCTGCTTTCCCCATGATAAAAGCCGGGACAATCAAACACACGTAAGGTAGCAGAGTGTCCCACGCCTGAAGATGATGTGGCTTACCAACAATGGCCAGTTCAGTTGACGCTCATCCATTACAACTGTCCTGCCCTTCCTACTCCAGACTTTCCTCAGGGTAACACCGCTTTGCCCCTGCCACCTGGGTTAAAGCCACACCCTTAGGCCTGGTCTTCACCTAGGCCTGCCATAACCACCCTAATTAGCAATGGTCCTCTTCCCAAAATGATCTCACAGCAAATTGGTGACAAAGGTAGTACTAGAATTTTGTTGTTAATTGCTGAGAATATACACAGTACACAGGAATCAGACTGACTACATCTGTGGCAAGAGGCGATGGAGAAGCTCACTGTCTTCAGCTAGAACAAGACCAGGAGCTGATTGATGAACAGACCATCAATTGCTCATATGCAAGTTAAAGTTGAAGACAAAATAAGTCAACAAGAGGTAAAATAAGACCTTGAATGTATCACTCCTGAATTTAGAAACCATCTAAAGAATAGATTTGATGCATTGAACACCAATGACTGAAAACCAGACAAATTGTGGGATGATATCAAGAACATCATCGATGAACAAAGCAAAAGGTCATCAAAAAGAAAGGAAGAAAAAGATCAAAATGGATGTCCGAAGGGATTCTGAAACCTGACCTTGAACGAAGAGTAGCTAAAGCAAATGGAAGAAATGACAAGATAAAAGAGTTGAACAGAAGATTTCAAAGAGCAGCTCAAGAAGACAGAGTCAATTATTGTAATGAAACCTGCAAGGACATGGAGTTGGAAAACCAAAAGGGAAGAACATGCTTGGCATTTTTCAATTTGAAATAACTGGAGAAAAAAGTTAAGCCTTGAGTTGCAATATTGAAAGATTCTATGGGCAATATACTGAATGATCCAGGAAGCATCAAAGGAAGATGGAAAAAATACACAGTCACTGCACCAAAAAGAATTGGTCTGTCTTCATCCATTTCAGGAGGTGGCATATGATCAAGAACCAGTGGTACTGAAGGAAGAAGTTGAAGATACACTGAAAGAATTGGTGAAAAACAAGGCTGCAGGAATTGACGGAATACCCATTGAGATGTTTCCACAAATGGATGCTGTACAGGAGGCACTCACTTGGTTATGCCAAGAGATTTGGAAGACAGCTATCTGGCCAAGTGACTGGAATAGATCGGTATTTATACCCATTCCATAAAAAGGTGATCCCACAGAATGTGGAAATTACCAAACAATATCATTCATATTGCATGCAAGTAAAATCTTACTGAAGATAATTCAAAAACGGCAGTATATCAGAGAACTTCCAGAAGTGCAAATTGAATTCAGAGGAAGATGTGGAAAAAGGAATATCATTGCTGATGTCAGATGGATCTTGGATGTAAGCAAAGAATACCAGAAAGATGTTTAGTTACATTTTTCTGACTATGCAAAAGCATTCAGTTGTGTGGATTATAACAAATTATGGATAATATTGAGAAGAATGGGGATTCCAGAACACTTTATAGTACTCATGAGGAACCTGTACATAGACCAGGACGCTGTCATTCGAACAGAACAAGGGGATAATGCATGGTATTCAATCTGTATGTTGAGAAAATAATCCAAGAAGCTGTACTATATGAAGAAGAATGTGGCATCAGGATTGGAAGAAGACTCATTAACAACCTGCAATATGGTGATGACACAGCTTTGTGGAAAGTGAGGACAATTTGAAGCACTTGCTGATGAAGACTGAAAACTACACTCTGCA